GAGTTTGACCTCTTTGCATGGTTTTGATGAGGCAAATATTGGAAAAAGTGTCCAATTCTGGTGTCTGGGTCTTTTTTTAGAAAAGATACAGAAAATTCAGAATGAGTTTGGAGGGGAAGCCAAGTCTGAAAGGCTGTTTAGTCTGGCAGATAAAAGCAGAATACTAACTAGTGGTTAGAAGTTGTAGGCATACACACTTTACCTAGGTAATGGGGTATTGTTTCTGAAAAGGAAGAGGATTAATTGGTGGAATAAGCTTCCAGCAGAAGTGATGGCTTCTTAGTGCCTGGATGTTTCCCGGTGAGCCTGGCTGACTCCTTAGGTGCTGTAGAAGCTGCTAGAGATAATGGAGCATTTGGCTCAGTCCAGAGTGACAAGAGGCGTGCTTGCTGCAAGATCAGTCTCCGCTCTGTAGGGTCTTGCTGTGAAGGGGAGAACCCATCTGGTGTCACACTCGGGCGTTGCACTGAGCTTTGCTCCAGAGCACTCTGGGAGAGTCAGGGGAAGATCATGGAGGCTCAGGGATCAGTTAAACCTTTGAGATCCTGTGGCTTTTTGACACCGCAGCAGCTTCTCCCTACTGTTGAAAGTAGGAGGTGGCTGTGGTTGGAAGTTGAAGCTAGGCAAATTCTAAGTGCCCATTTCTAAAGGGCTAGCCCAAGGTGAGTCCAGGTAGCTCTTAATCACCAAGAATTTAATTTAAACATGTCTTTTTCTGAAAGATCACTTCAGTTTAGAGGAATTACATCTCAGAGTAGTCCTATGGCATAGAGAATGTTAGACTGTCTTTGGAGCTGTCCCCCAGACCTTTTAATGTGAGCACAGAGATGGCTGAGGGCTCTTGCTGGATCCACTGGGCATGATCTGTTCAACAGCAAAGAAAAGAGGGTGGAAATCCTTTCCTGTGGATACCCCACCTGCCTTTGTTGCTCTTCTGCGTGCTGATCTTTTATGTCCCTTTTCTGAGGCTCTTCTGACTTCTGGCTGTAGAGTAGTAATCTCTATACTTCTGTGAGAGGAAGGGATCCCATCAGGAGTTGGAAAGGCGATTGTGCTCCTCATCTTTCTTTACTCCAAAGAAGGGCCTTCCTTACTGTCCTAGACTTGAGAGCAGGTACGTGTCCGTCTCAAGTTCTGAGTGAAGGCAGCAACCCCTGTCACTCAGCCATTTCAAGTTCCAAAAAGGTTTCGCAGCTCAAGGCTTGCTGAATGTTGTGCTTTCATGTGACCCTCTGCCCAGGCTGCTGAAAGTGCCAGTGATTCAGTGAGGTGTGCCTGTTCTCAGGGGAGGATTTTGGTTTTTCAGCACGGTTCATTCCCCAGCTAGCTGGCGTTTAATGGCAGCGCATGCAGGACGTGGTGGAAGCCAGGCGTTTGTCAGTTCATGGTGGTGGTCACAGAGTCTGGTGGTCTTGCAGTGTCACCTCTCTGTTGTCTGTCTTTGGTCTGGTGCCTTTTCCTGCCTCTGTGACCTGGAGTGTGCACGTATCTCGTCCAAACTGAGGTGTAAGGCTTAGCTTCTGTGGTCCCGCGCTCGGGGACTGTTACAGCTTCGTACCAGCAGCCCGCTCTGCTCCCGCGTGTGCTTTTTAGCTTACCCAGGTGGAGTGTTCTGGACGCAGGCCGGTAACATGCCTAGAGTTGTTGGATGTTGAATGGCCGGGCTCTGCTGGCAGGGTGGTTCAAGAGAACTGTCATGTTGGGAAACCTTGCCAAGGAAACGTCCGTCCTGAAAGCTGGGCAGTGACCCCTTTGGGGCCCAGAGCTGCTGCTGGCAGTCCCCAGCAGGCTCCTGCGGCTCGGTCCGACTCGGCCCACACTTGGTTCGTGCTCTGTTGGACTTGTCCCCAGCAGTGACTTTAGTTAGCCTTACGGCTTTCCCGGACCAGCGTCCGCTGCCTGCCGGGTTCACCGGAGTTTCCTTAGCCTCTAGGCGAGCTGGAAATGAAGGCGGGGGTCCAATGTGAGCGAGCGCGGGGTGTGGGGGGCTCAGTTGCTGGTGCAGGGAGAGCCTCCAGCTGCGCACCTCGGGAGCAGCGGGGGGGAGTGAGGGTCACCTCAGCTGCCCGGCCCGGCCCCCTCGCCCCTCCGGCCCCGGTCCCGGCCCTTCGGGGTTCTCTCCTCCCTGCCCACCCCCTCCCCTCTCCGAGCGACGCTCAGGCGGAGCTTCCCGGTCGGGTTTCTGGGAGGGGCGGTCCCAGGCAGCGTCCTCCTTCGGCAGAGCCCCGGGGCCAGCCCCCGGCCCGGCCTGACGGCGCTTTCTCCCGCAGGAGGTTCGCCGAGAAGCACGGCGCGGCGCGGGCCGGCGGCAGCCCCTGAGCGGGCGCGGC